CCTCTCCGCTTCTCCCCACCCTTCCTCCCCTCTCTCCTCCCTCCAGCCCTCCTCTCTTTCTCTCCCCGTCTCCACCACTCCTACCCGCCCTTTGGCTTCCCCTCCCCGTCTCCACCCCCACTCGCTTCTCCCGGCCTTCTGCCATCTCTTTTGGGCCTAGCTCACCACTCCGGCCCCCCTTTCCTGCCGGCGCCAGACTCCCAGCTCGGATTCCTTCCTCCCCGGGGCGCGGCAGAGGGCACGCCCCCTCCAGCCCCCTCCGGGCCGACCGCGGGCCTTCCGCTCTGGCCGCCCGGGCCAAGTTTGGCACATCTGGGCCATCCTGCCTGCCCTGCCTCCCTGGCTCCCGTCCAGCCTCGGAGGGGAAAGCTGTCTTCTGGAGCGTTCTCTCGGCCTCTCGCTGGGCCCCTTTCTTTCTACTTTCTCCTGCCCTAGGGTCCACCCGGGGCCTCCTGGCCTTTTCCTGGCCCTGGAGGAGAGCAGCGCTGGTCTTAAGCTGACATCCATTCTCACCTGAACATCTGGACTATGTCCACCTCACACTTCTCTGGTCCAAAGGCTCTCAGACATCAGAGAAAGGGACTGTCCCCCACCAGAGACCCCACTGCCCCTCGCACACACCACAAAGCCAAGTCCTATCAGTCCATTCTCATTTTTCCAACGTCCTTGCCATCCAGTGTTGCCTAGATTAAAAATGTGCTACCCAGCATGGCCAGAGCACCAAGCCCGGGGTAAGAGACAGCAAAGACCATGCCCTTAACTACTAGGCAAAACAGCCTCTAATGAAACCTAATGACGCTTTACACTGTCCTTTACATGTATGCCCACTTAAGCCTCAAAACAGCCTCAGAGATAGAATTATTTCCCTCCTTTTACTGAGGAGGAGAAATGAGGTCTAGAGAGGTTAAACCAATGAAGCTGGTAACTGCAGCTGGTGTCTCTTGTCTCTCCATCCCAGTCAACCTTCGTTCACTGTGACATCTTTCTAAAACACAGACCTGGTGTTGCATTGCTTCCTTCACTGACCACAGGATAGAGTTCTATCTCTTCTACGGGCATATTTCACAAAGTGGCTCCAACTGACTTTTACTTTTCTTGTTTTCCACTTCCTTTCCTTACCCATGCTCCTACCCCACATGCTAACCCCACCAAAACTCTCAAATTCCCCCAAATAAGCTCAGAATGCCCTTCATTCCCAGATCCCACTTGGCTGGCAAACTCCTACTTATCCTTCAATGCCCAGTTTATACGCTCCTCCCTTGGGTCCAGACTCCTAAGCTGTTGATTGCTGGCTCGTTAGGCCCTCTCTGGGAGCATCCAGTAGTTCTGCGGTACTTCTGAGTCTGGTACATTGCAAGTGCTGGCTGTCACCTTTATCTCTGCCTGGCCCAGGGGAGACTCAATAGATGTCCACAGAGTGGATGACCGAGTGGCTGTGGGAACAGCAACGAAAATGATAGGGCCCTCATACCTAGGGGCCATGCATGCTTCAGTCCACCAGCCAACCCTACCTGCAGAACTAGCCCCTCATCTCCTGGTCATGTGATGTGTCCATTGGCCCCCTGGCCTGGCTGAGCAGGTCTCTCTTCCAGCAGCCTGCCCC